ACCTATGCGGGGTCCCTATCTCAATATAATTGATAAGTGGTCATTCAATTGATAGTTCAATATTTTTATAACAAAGCCCATCTCAAGGTAAGTTGAGGTAGACTGAGGCAAGGGTTGAACAGGACAATGGCTAATTTATTATGATGTTGATTAATGTTTTTAGATATTACAATAAGGCATCGTTTCGTTGATACAAATTCCATACATTTAAGCTCCAAATTACACATCACCAATAATTTGGTATGTGCCTTTATATATGCCTTAACATATGTAGCACCTCAGAATATGCTATTATTTTAACCAAGACAAGTGGATTGAAAATAAGTCTGATCATAACTTCAAACATCTTGTTATACTAATTTACTAGGTGGTTGTACTTTTCCAATAATTAACAAACATTTCCTATTTAATGTCTATCATTACTGATACAGTACCATATATGATACTCAGGACTTACATAAACAGCCATACATAAATCATCCTGTCGGTCAATCTGTATGCACCTTTCTTGGCAAGAGACATGTTTTGCAATTTAATGAGTCTAGAAGAACTATTCAGTAAAAGCTACTGTACATTCATGGTCCTTCTTCCTCCTTGTGTTATGTCACTGATTACATAACATTCAAATGACAAGGTCTGGACCAAGGTTGGACTGATTCTTTTACAGCATAAAAACATTTTTTTTTAAATACAACCAACCGAGTTATGTGTTTAAATGTTTGTTATGTATGTATTCCATTCCCGATCAACAAGATTTAAATTAAACCACCAGTGCCAGTCAAGTAATTAGTGGGTCTTATTCCAAAAGTAAACTAAAAACTATGAGTATAGCTATCAGTATTGAGACTTTTTTGACTTCATGGAGATTAAATTAAAATTGAATAGAGGTACGGTACAGGATAGGGAAATAATGAAAGATTAGGGAAATAATGAAAAAAACTGTTACATAAAGTAAAGATTTATAAATTATAATATAAAGGCATATAAGTATATTTATAGTTAACCTTACAATATATTTAAATGTTTACCTGACAAGGCGTTCATTTTAAAGGTTAACTAACACATGTATATGAATATTCATAAGCAATAAACCTGTATTTATTCAATGGATATTAACTCATTAATATTCAAAGTAAGGGCTAAAATAATGTCTCATGACAACCTCTGCAACATGCTGAGTGTTCATAAAAAGAAATAAAAATGTTTAAGAGTTTTGGGAAACTTGGTGATACCAATATTACCAAAAAACCGGTGTACATATAGGTAAGATTTTAATCTAAATTTTTAAAACAACTTCTGATTGATATTTACTTATGGTTCCACCTTCACATCATTATTCAACATTCATCAGTCAAAATAAATGTCTCTTAAAATAATTTATTTTTTATATAGTTGCTTTGTTCTACAAAATAAATGTATTGACCAATTTTCCCATTAAGTAAATAGCCTAAGTTCGTTCATTTTTATGTATGACCACAATCTTTAATCTTTTGTGTGTGTGATTAACTTACCTCATGGAAAATTTACATCAGCAATTAGTTCAAACTTAAAACGTATTGAAAAAACATCTATAAAGCTTACCTCCCATAGAATTTATTAATTTTGGTTCTTATTGGTACATTGTCAATGGTGTCATTTCACCAGATCCTTGGGGGGGAACACCAGAGAGGGGGGGGGGTCATGGGGAAAATTTTGCAGTTTTGAAACAGGAAAATAGGGGTTTCAGCTTATTTTAATTGTTTAAAGCACTTAGAATAATTAAAAACAAAATTATATAGGCTAGGTAAAATTTATTTAAATTCAGGCAGAAAATTAATGAAACTGACAATTATTGACAACAGACAGAAACATAATAATGTGTTTCTGGGTGGTACATGGTAAACATATATCTCTATTATACAGAGATCAATGGTGGTAAGGCAGTGAAATAACCACAGGTGTCGCAGCAAATGAGCTGGTAAACAAGAATAATTGGCTCTGCCATTATATGATTTTTTTAACGCATACGAGTGTGACACCAATAAGTGTGAACTACACTAAATTTAATATTAAAGATTGCCTGTTTTAGAGACACTAAAAAATAATATTTTTGTTTTAAATTACTGTATAAGAATAAGCAGATTTTTGTCTGCCGTGCTTTTTAGGATTTGGCAGGAGAAAGTATTTGTATATTAGCAAAGACTTTGCTTGACCCTACATTTGGACCCTAAGCAAAGACTTTGCTTGACCCTTGGTTGACCCTACAGCATTTTTTTTCTAGCTCAGGATGCAAATGTCCCCTCCTACATTACTGTACTGGGGGCCCCTAAATGAAGCTCCTGTACATTTTGGAAAAGGAAGAAGAAGAATATGCTGTTTAGCTAGACTATGGTTTTTTTTATCACTATCACTAACTCACTATACTGAATATCTTTACTACTGAAGAAGAAGCTAGTGACTATGTAAATTCTCTGTATTTTTGTAATTATCTGTGCAATTTCAACTAGTTTAGCGAATTTCCCATATAGGGAATAAGCTATAACCCTAGCTGTCTCATGGTAAGACCGGATTTTCTTTTTCGTTTTGTGGTCCCCAGAGGACAGAAACACCATCCGTTCAAATGCATATATTATGTATGAATGTTTGTGTCTGCTAGCACGATAACTTGAGCAACATTTACCCAATTTTGATGAAATTTTGTGTAAATCTACATTTAATCTTAAACTAGTTTTTAAACCAGTATAATCAGACTATGGGAGAAGGGGTTTTATGGAGTAAAAATTAGGTTTTCTAATTTTTTACCCTAAAAACATAAAATTTTACAATTTATTTCCTGACTGTTTTGTAGAGTTTAAAAATAGAAATAATTTAATATGTTGAAGAGTTGCTGTATAACTAAAGGTTACGGAGAAAATTTTGAAAAAAGTGTAAATTTAAAATTCCCATGTTATTGAGCGGAGTAAAGCAAAGCGACACACCTACTTTTGTTTTAAAAATACTCCTACTGAACGGGGCTGAAGCGATCTGCACAAAATTTAGCACAGTCTTGGTAGTAACCAACCATGGGAAGGTATAAATCTGAAATGGTATAAATCGGACCACAGGGCTTTTCCCTACGTGAGAGAAAAAGAGAAGAACAATCGGATTAATATCATTTAAAACTACAAAATTTACTACTATTTACTACAAAATGAATATCCGCAATAATTATAGTGATGCACTATTGAAATTGACTTTAGATTCTCCAAATAGCTATATTCCATTTATGTGAACCAAATATAGGCCTACCGTTGAGTTTGGATATTGGGATAAAGTAAGTAGACTTTATATTTAAGTGAACTAGACCTACCATTACTAGGTACAGTACTGCAAATAGGAATTCCATTAATGTGAACAAAAGATACCATTTAGTTTGGATACTGCTACTGCAAGTAGACCAGACATTCCAATGACTGAACCAGACGTACCATTGACTTTGGATACTGCGTTCTTATCAAGAATAAAATAAACTGTTATAGTTTGCTTTTTTATAGATATAGGTATTCTAATGAATTTAGCAAATTAGTTTATTAATTAACTGTCAATATTTCAATACAAAACACACCTTAAATTTTATTTTTCCTGTAGCAGAAAAACTAAGAAGGGTATACTCATTAAAATCAATGCTATTTAAATAGAAAATATATTTCAATATTTTAAGGGAATATTTTCGTGGAAATCCAGCCAAATTTACATGGAAATTTGCTTAACCTGCAGGTTTGCTGCGGTGGGGGTATTTGTTGGTTATGAAAGCCTACTACTAAACCTATCCATTAAAAAATTCCTAATAATGAATGGATTAATTAATTAATTAGAATTAGTTACAATTAAAATGTAGCCAGTATAGTGCCATAATTTATTTAATTTAAATACACAGTCTTAAAACAATCGCTGGTATTGGTTTTGGCATTAATAGTTTCTGTGCTCAACAACTGGTAATAGCAATGTGCTATGTGAATATTTAGAAAACTTGCAGAGGTTTCAGGATTCCCAAACATCCGTTTCTACAACAAACAGGGTCAACTTGAAATAATATTTACTATTTTACCCTCAGGTGTCACAAGAGGCAAGAGGTTAGCATAAGCCTTCTCATTGTGCAAGGTGATTACAAAAGGTTTAAAAATAACTATCACCCTACTTTGACACAAATTACACTGACAATGTCTCCTCCAACCTTTGTTACAGTATTGGTATTCTCAACATATAACCCCCAGTTATATTAGAAACTTCACAGGAATTGTAAAAAAGTATTTATTTTTTTGCAAGTCTGTTTAGAATGCTAATAATTGTGATAATAAAGCTTATTTGTGTAAACAGCTGAAGCTGTAGATGATATAGGTAAATAATAAATATTATTGTCCACTCTATGCATTATTTTAAAAGACAAAAGTTTAACTTCTGTTGACTAATAAGAAACTAATATGCCTCAAACAAGAGTAGAAATAGGAAATTTGAAATTGCTTAGTCATTTTGAAGCCCGCCTTAGAAAATCCATTTCCTTTAACCAAAGATTAGACAAATTAGAAGAACACGGTGTTTGTATCATACTAGCTAAAGCTGTTGACAAGTTGAAAATTGTTGAAAAGCTTCTTCCTGAGCTGGAAGTAGTGGGGTTTGAGCCATACCAAGCAATATCAACACGTATGACAACCTTGCAGAAGACAAAACCTCCAGAGCACCAAGATGTTGCTAGCTCTGAGTATCTCAAACACATTCAACACTGCCGTTTTATGTGTCAAGAAGTTTTGGAAAAGATTATTCGTGCATTTAATAGTGGTGATAGTATGCTGCCTGACCTAAAATATACTACATTTCTTGAAAACCTAAGGTATTATGATAATTTTCTTTTGAAACAAGAAAATATTAATCTAAAAAATAATATTTGTACTTTAAATGAAAAAATAAGTTTTATTAAAAAGCAATCTGAAGAAACTAGGCTGTACATGAACAAATTGACTCAGATTTGTTTACATCAAGCAGCAATGAGAGCGTGGGCTCAGTGCAAGACTCTCAAGAGAAACAATGATGTCCACCAGCAGGCAAAAGTAGACCACAATGCGAACCGGATTAAAGAGAAAGAGGACAGTTTGGCTGATCTTAGGGAACAGTGCACGACCGCAATGCTTAGAGAGAACACCGTCAACAATGAGGTAACAAGTCACCTAGAAACAGCAATAGGGAATCTGCAGAAAAAAATTGAAAAATGGACAGCTAGATATAGCAAAGAAGTTGACTCACTGGATATTGCTCTTCTACTACTGAAGAGTAAAATAGAAGATCAACACGAGAAGTTTAATAAGATGACTGAACAATACTCAGCTAAACTAGAGCTGCTGGAGTCACTTCACACAGAAGCGGATGATAGAGATCGAGAACTGGAGATACGGATAGCTCGGTCTAAAGCTGCATTCATCATCCAGCACTGGTGGAGAGGAGTATTGGCCAAAAGAGGGGCAGAGAAAAAGAAATCATCTGGCAAAAATAGGAAAAAATCTAAAAAATCGTCCACGAAAAGAAAGAAGAGGAAACAATCTCCAAAGAGGAAAAATAAATAAATGGTTTATACTAAAACTTAAAATTTCATTTACTATGTTATGTGTGGTTCATATGTTTTTTGGCTGAGAGAAGCTAGAATCCCATGAGAAAAACGATTATTGAAAAGTACACAATACATCAGTACCGGTAGTAGTCCATCTCTTGTGTCATGAATAGGTAGGCCTTATCGTGCAAAATTTATAAAATATAATTTTACCATACAAAAATCTTCTTCTAATTTTGTATTAAATAAAAATAAAATAGATTTATCAACTGTTTTATTAATTGTCATTCAACTATAGAGTATATATTATCATAGACTAAGCAACACAAGGACTAAGGGAGTATGTTTTATCTATGATATCTTCCTACTGTACCTGTATTATGCAACAAGGGTCTATTACACTCCTGGTGAATCTTTATTAACCAACTGAAAATACTTTCAATTGTTTGAATTTGTTATGGTTAGATGAAAGAAATCATTCATCGGCTGTACCAGATAACATCACCATTGTAAAAATAGAACATGATCTTTCTTATCAATGTAATGACTGATTGAATTTAAATTTAAAATTGACTTAGCAGAGAATATAAATAGAAAGTGTCATGCTACATAGTTTATGACATAACTAAGTAGTGTTGGGATTTTTCAAGGTTGGATTCAACAAGAAGTAACATTTTCAATTTAAAAGTAGATTTTATTAGTTATTTTTTCCAAAATTTGGAAATTTAATTTAACGACATATAAGCATGATATTTTACATTTTGTTATGGTCTGAGTTTTTCACTCAAATGGTGTATAAAATATATACAAATAATTAAAATATTGGTATAAAAGTTTATAGGATTTGATATAGCCTAGTTGGAAAACATAAAATAAGTGTTTTCATTCCACCTGCTTTAAGCTTAATTTTAAAAAGTCAACATTTTAAATTAGTTATCTTATAGGCATATATCACTTCTACAATAACAGGCAAAAAATTAAATATTTTTAGGTATGTATGACATTTTCTAGTAACTTAAACTTTAAATACTGATAAAATACTGAAAATTAGAGCTGTGTTCATGGACCTTAGAGACCCCCACGTTAGTACCCAATATTAACATTTAATGAGGTTGTACCAGGAAAGCCTATCCCTTTTCCCTTCATAAGAAAAACAGTATACTTTTTAGTTGGTATCACAATTTCCCCTGGGAACAGTGGGAACCCAAAATGAAGCATATTGGGGAAGCTGAAAAATAAAAACTTCCACTATTTTGTACTAGGTTGAGATCACGGATATTGTTTTTAACTGATGACCTTCAAAATGAGGAGTCACTTAATGGCGGGGATCTATATTTAACAATTTTGAGCTGCTCCCCCATTCCCCATTTCCCCATTTTCCCCATTTTGGGGCCCTGGGAAAAATTGTCATAGTGACCAAAAAGTAATTCTTAGTCTCTTGTCACGGCAATATTGAGTTTAAGTTTTTTTGGTACAACAGAAAGACATTATACAGGGTTAGTAAAAAGTGTGGAGACCCCCTGTTATTTTTTTAACGGCCCATACTAGAAAAACTAAACTCGGCACATCTTTATTACATCTTATGAAGTACTTTTTGGGCATAACCGTCACTTGGTGTACATCCCCAAAATGGGGATTTTGGGGGAAACTTAAAAATTTCAAATACAAAGACCCATCGAGTGACCCCTCATTTTGAAGGTCCTGGTAAAAGAAGACCAACAACGCAAACTAGAGGTCTTTATCTCAATCCAGTAAAAAATGGCAGCCAATTGAAATTCTCAGAAGTTAAATTTAACTTACAGTTTTCCAAGTCTGGAGACCCCCTGTAAATTTTGTAGTGGCTCACACTAGGAAAACTAAACTCTACACACCTTTTTGGCATGTTATGAAGTATTTTTTAAGCCTAATATCCACTTGCTTACCTAACCCAAAATGGGGGATTTGGGGGGAAACTCAAAAGATTTAAATGATAAGCCCCATCAAGTGACCCCTCATTTTGAAGGTCCTGGTAAAAGAAAACTAACAACGCAAACTAGAGGTTTCTATCTCAATCCAGTAAAAAATGGAAGCTGATTGAAATCTTTAGAAATCGGTACTGTAATAGCTTGCAATTTTATATTCAATCGACTGCCATATTTTACTGTGTTAAGATAGAGACCTATAGTTTGCGTTGTTAGTTTTCTTTTATCATGACCTTCAAAATGAGGGGTCACTCGATGGGACTTATCATTTAAAATTTTTGAGTTTACCCCAAAATCCCCCATTTTGGGTTTGGGAACTTGTGAGAATTTCAATTGGCTGCCATTTTTTACTGAATTGAGATAGAGACCTCTAATTTGCGTTGTTGGTTTTCTTTTACCAGGACCTTTAAAATGAGGGGTCACTCGATGGGTCTTTGTATTTGAAATGTTTGAGTTTCCCCCAAAATCCCCCATTTTGGGGATGAACACCAAGTGGCGGTTATGCCCAAAAAGTACTTAATAACATTCCATAATGGGGTGCCGAGTTTAGTTTTTTCTAGTATGGGCTGTTAAAAAAATAACAGGGGGTCTCCACACTTTTTACTAACCCTGTATATTGGTGTATATTTTTACATGAGATGTCTCATGCTGATGAAAAATAAAATCGGTCGCCATTCGGTAATGCGTTGAGATAGAGCCCTCTAGCTAATTTTCAACGATATTCTTTATAACTAATGGCCTTGAAAATGAGGTGCCACTACTTGATGGGGCTTTACATTTTAAATTTTTAAGTTGCCCCTCAAAATAATCCATTTTTGGGACATCAAAATGAAAAAGTTTATCAGTCCCGGCTCTAAAGTCTAACCATACCACGTACGTCCGTAAACATGATAACTCAAGTAATTTTGGTCCGATTTCCATGAAATTTGTGTTGAAGGTGTTAAGTCAGGATGATCTTGAATCTTATAGCAAATCAGCATGATCGAACCATGGGAAGATGTGTTTGTGGGGGGTCTTATGGGGTAGAAATTGGTTTTTCCCATTTTTTATAGACATAAAATTTCCCAACATCTCTTGAAATCATTTTAAAGAGCTTAAAAAAATAATTTAATATATGTGATGTGGAAAGGGAATAGGGACCTCTTGTCGGGAATTTTCGATTTTGAGTTATATATACATTCGCATTCGTTATTAAATTCCGAATCAATTGTTGAAAGTCCCACGCATGTATGATTTTTTCCCCTTAAAGTTATAGAACTTTGAAATTTTGTTATAGAAAAGGGTCATTTTGAGAAAAACTGATTTCAAAATTACAAATACGCATAAAAACCGTGTTTTTCTATTCAAGAAAAGATTTTGGTATCAAAGGAAAGCTTATAATGTCCTCTTTGGAAGCAATACAAATTTTTGTCTTAACTAACGGTAGTTTTCATTTAAATAATTGTTTTATTGAAGCATGTAGAAAAAATCACATTTCAGAAAAGGGACCTCTTGTCGGTCCTATGTTATTTCTCCATAAGATAAGAAAAGGTACCTCTTGTCGGGACCGCAAGTGAGATATTTTGTTCTCCGTGCAGTGCCGGATTTACCACTAGGCCGATTAGGCCGCGGCCTAGGGCCGCAAGCAAAAGGGGGCCGCAGAGGATTGAGAAAAACATTTTTATAGATAAAAAATTATTTATTTTAAACCACTAGATTGCCGCGATCACGGGTGACCATAATGATGTCTCAGCGGACCGAGGGAGATGTTCACGATTTCACCGCGGTCACAAGTGTCGATGATGATGATGTACCCGTGATTGAGGCCCGCGGGGGACGTCCGCGATTTAGCCGCGGCCGCGGGTGACGGTGATCTATCCTCATAATCGAATCCCGCGGGAGACGTTCAAGAATTAGCCGCTGTAACGAGTGTCGATGATGATGTCCCCGTGATTGCGGCTCACGGGGGACGTTCGCGATTTAGCCGCGGCCGCGGGTGACGGTGATCTATCCTCATGATTGCGGACCGCGGGAGACGTTCGCGATTTAGCCACGGCCGTGGGTGACGGTGATCTATCCTCATGATTGCGGACCGCGGGAGACGTTCACGATTTAGCCGCGGCCGCGGGTGACGGTGATCTATCCTCATGATTGCGGACCGCGGGAGACGTTCGCGATTTAGCCACGGCCGTGGGTGATGGTGATCTATCCTCATGATTGCGGACCGCGGGAGACGTTCGCGATTTAGCCACGGCCGTGGGTGATGGTGATCAATCCTCATGATTGCGGACCGCGGGAGACGTTCGCGATTTAGCCACGGCCGTGGGTGATGGTGATCAATCCTCATGATTGCGGTCCGCGGGAGACGTTCGCGATTTAGCCACGGCCGTGGGTGATGGTGATCTATCCTCATGATTGCGGACTGCGGGAGACGTTCGCGATTTAGCCACGGCCGCGGGTGACGGTGATCTATCCTCATGATTGCGGACCGCGGGAGACGTTCGCGATTTAGCCACGGCCGTGGGTGATGGTGATCAATCCTCATGATTGCGGTCCGCGGGAGACGTTCGCGATTTAGCCGCGGACGCGGGTGACGGTGATGTATCCTCATGATTGCGGCCCGCGGAAGACGTTCACGATTTAGATGTGGCCGCGGGTGACGGTGATGTATCCTCATAATCGAATCCCGCGAGAGACGTTCAAGAATTAGCCGCTGTAACGAGTATCGATGATGATGTCCCCGTGATTGCGGCTCACGGGAGATGTTAACGATTTCGCCGCGGCTAAAGGTGTCAATGAGGATGTCCCCGTGATGGCTTCCCGAGGGGGATGTTTACGATTTCGGTACGGCCGCGGGAGACAATGATGATGATGATCGCAGCCCACGGGAGATGTTTTTAACACGACTTTGCCGCGATCGCAAGTGTCGATTTAGATGTCCCCGTGATTGCTGCTTTGCGGAAGATGTTAACGATTTTGGCATGGTCGCGAGTGTCGATGATGATGTCCATGTGATTGCGGCCCGCGGGAGATGTTCACTATTTTACTGCGGTCGCGGGCAACGGTTATGATGTCCTCAAGGTCATAGCTCACGGGGTATGATCAAGATTTCGCCGTGGTCGTGAGTGTCGAGGATGATGTCCCTTTGTTGCAGCCCGCGGGGGAAGATTTTGCCCTTTGTTGTTAAAGATTTAGCCGCGGTCACGGATACCTATGATGGCTTTGACTTGGTTTAGGAGAGATGTTCACGATTTCATCCATGATCACGGGTGTCAGTGATGATGCCCCTTGATGCATAGGAGATATTCACGATTACTTCCGCGATCGCAAGGAATTTCCACCACAGGGGGAGGGCCGCTCAAGTAATTTGGCCTAGGGCCGCAAGTACCCTAAATCCGGCACTGTCTCCGTGAGCTGAACTTTGTTGTTGTTCTCTAAATTTCCACTAGAATGCAGGACAATTAATTTTGTGGACTAAAATCTGTTTAAAAAGTGAATATTAGAAATGGGACCTCTTGTCGTTATGGCGAAATAACATTGAGCGACCAGAGGTACCTTTTCTCAGACCGTGCAGAGGCTAACTAAAATGATTTATTTCTACCTTTTGCATCTTCAATTCGATATTTTAACCGATACTGTCATGTTCTATGTTAAATGAGGTATAACAATCAATAAAAACCCAAAATTCAATATTTTCAACCTTAACTACTTGTATTGGCCGTACTGAAAATTTTGCATCTCCGACAAGAGGTCCCTTTTCGCTTTCCACATCACATATTGAAGTGTTTTTGTATGGTGATTGGTTTTGGAGAAAATTACAAAAATTGTAAATCCAAAATCTGAAGTTATTCTTATGGAAATTAGTAAACTGGTAGTTTGCTTGTTTATATGGATAAATGTTGATCAAATTTGGCAAATTTATTTGTTTCCCCTTGCCTGTACACTATTAACATAACATTTAGTCAAAAACACTTTTTTTACCATCCCCACTGCAGCAAACCTAAATAATAGCCTATAATGTTATTTAGAATTTTAATGGGAAATAAATATGTCTTGTTTATAGAAGTATTTTAGTATAAATCCAATTGGGCAAATTTAAATTCGCTTAGTGTACAGGTTTGCTGCGGCGGGGGTATTGTTTTAATTTTGATCAATCGATCCAACAACAAAAATAATGTAAGAGGAATTAATGTAAACTATATGTTTGACTGATGTTTCCTACAAATGATGTGTATGTACTTTGTGGGATGTATAATGGTTCATCCATGTATACCACAAAATGGTAATCTTAATCGAAACATATGGGACCTTGGAGGTAACCTTTAAGAGATATATTCACTATCATATGATGTTGAGGTTCAAAGTACTCGACTGTCTCTTACAACTAACTTCTGACAGCAGATAATGTGTCATTTTACCATATCAGCAAACACTACTATTAACTTATATTTTAACTTGAGAAGGTTGGAGGGGATTTCATTGTGACAATCTCTAATGAAAATTCCTAAGAACTAGCTAGAATAAAAATTGGCTCTAGCTCTAGACACTATACTGATTGTCATAAAAATAAAAATAAATTGTTTGGATCTACTTACTGATGATAATTATTAATTGGGCATAGAGGTTTAAATTAGTATATTTTTTATAAATGCCAAATGGTTTCACAATCATAATCCATATTTTAAATTCAAAAAAGTAAACTCAAATGACATATCCGTTGAAATCATTGGAATTCTAACTTTTGGAATGAGAATTATTAATTTTACTCTTGGTGTGTGAACAATTATTACTCATCCAGTTTTCTTAGCACCAAGCAAAGCATATATATATCCATAGATAAAACATACTCCCTTAGCTTTTAGGCCTAAACATTGCATGAATTTAGTTGGTTTAGATTTTGAAGCATAACTAGTCAATCAGAAGCCTCCAAATGACACCGATGGCAAAACTAATTGGAATGAGTGTTGTACACCACTTGTGGATTTCTTTCATTATTTACCAACATTGACTTTCGGAATAAAAACATTGCAAATAAATAAGTAACAGCTGATAGAATGCAGACGTTTTTCAGTCCACATGCATTTCTATGGTGGATATTTTACGTTATATCTCGTTTTCTGGCAACTTTATGGGAATCCTGCTATTTTTCCCGAGTCCCTGGGATCAAGACTTTTCTGCGACTTATACCAGACGTCCACAATTTTCTGGTAAAAATATGGTCTTACAGAATTATATAGATTTCTCTCCTAGACCCATTTACTCAAGTATTCCATCATCATTCACCCATAATTAAATCAACTAACTTATTAGCTGAAGCTGAAGGAAGCTCAAACTACTACTGCTAGTGCTAACTTAGTGTAATGAGGAGTGGAGTGGGGGCAATCTGCGTATCTGCGATCTCGTTTAATTTATCACTTGACAAGACAAGACAAGATAACTTTAGAAACTACATTCAACGTTTAACGTGAGTTACTCATCGCGTTCAACAGAGTTATGCCACTTTGTGAATGAATGTTAGGTTTAAGTTTGCTTTGTTTTGTGGAGGGTTTTCTATAATTTTCAGACCAGCTCGGTATTCCTTGCCAGTGCGCCGGGCAGTGTCACGTGACCTCACCGAGGTTATAAATAGGAGGGATCTTCTCTCACTCCATCTCTTTTCCACACTAGCATTCGTCGGGAATCGACCTCGTCCATCGTTTTACTCTGCGCCGTCTATTCATTTCAGTGCCATGCCGGAATCATCTCACAAATATATCAACGGTTTTCAAAACGGCCACATGGAGGAAACGCCAGACGAGGAAACGTTTCTATTCACCTCAGAATCCGTCGGCGAGGGACATCCAGGTTAGTTTTTAATTGATTTTACTAAACTTAGTCGTAATCTAGATACGTAGACAATTATGAATGGCGTCTCGGTGCTTGCGGCTTATTGTGTCAGCCAACACGAGGCATGTTTGCTCCGGTGAAGTTAAATTTACATTCCCTTGCATCAGTCATTAATCCTAATCGTTGCTAACTTAGGCAAGATTTTGTTTGGTGGATTTGCTAAGTAAGTTAAGGCCAATATGTTTTCTGTGGTTAAGGCCTACTTACTTATAAGCCACCGGTAGGCCTAAGCCTCCCTAATTCACTGTCGGAGTTTATATTAAAACCCCTCCTCAGACAAATTTTTAGGTTGGACCTAAAATTTGAACTAAGTTTAGGCCTAGTGGTAGGATAGTCTAGGTCCAAACATAAACAAATATTTATAAATATTTATTATGAATCTCATGTATTATTGACTGTAAAAATGGTGTTTACCGTATAAATAAATAAACATTGTTTTACTTAGGGTTTTTAAAGAAGTTAGAGATCAAGTCAATCATAACTTAGGCCTATGCCTAGAATCATTTTTTATACGTAGTCTAAGTTAATTCGTATAAGTTAAAAATCCCTATCATTCGCCATCCAAGTTACGTAACTTAACTAATTCTAACTTATTCTGTTGGATACCCAAGTCATAAAGTAAGCTCCTAAGGTTGCACTTGAGTTTACCGGTAGGCCTACGTCCTACTCCTACATTTAAGTTACTAACTTATTCATAGGTAGCCTACATTAATACAGCTGATTATAAAATGAAACTGTTCTTAATCTAAACCTAACCTTAACCAAACTGCAGTAGGCTAAGTATAACTATAAGTACTTAGGCTATGTGAGTAAATGTAGGACGTAAACTAAAGTGCAGCCGCTCCTAACTTGGTACTTTCTTAATACTTTTTACAAGGTACTTTTCAATGAAATGGCGACCATACAAAGTAGCTATTTTGGAGTTTCTTAACTGGGCTAGCCTATGCTAGTATTGATTGAATCTATCAAATTGAAAATATTGATTAATAATCAACATTTTTTAATATCTCTATTATAAAATTAAACTAGTATAACCTAACCTAACCTAACCAACCAAACTTGCTGATGGTGAAAAAATCTCATGAAGGTTTACTAATCGAATCGATAGTTTCAATCGATATTAGCATAGCCCAGTTAAGAAACTGTACCCGTCCGCTATTTTAAGCCAAGTATGAATGGAGATGAGTGTAGGAGGTAGGCCTAATTTTAACACTAAATAAGTTAAGTAATACCGAAACCCCGGTCAGACAGGCCCACGGGAGTTTTCACAAACGCATGTTGGTAACACTGTTTACTTAGGGGATTCCATTCCCCCAATACTTTCCCCCCTTTTCCTCCCCTACCTGTTGATATACGGTATTGTTTGTTCATTTTGCAAGGTTGCCGTGACCTTGACAGGTTGTCCGTTCATAACATGCCCGTCTCAGAAGCCCAGCGTTTTAGTGTATTTTAATGCGGTGTCTCACAGACCCAGGGTTTCGGTTAGTGTCAGCCTGGGTAACTTAGGGTTTCGGTATTAACTTACTTAGTGTTAAGTTACTTAGTAACAATCTGTGGTTGATTCCTTTTTAACTTAATTTTTGGCCCCCCACTGCCTCTTCATTTAACCCTCCGAGGGTCACGCGTCGAGTTTAAGACGCACAACACACTTTGTGTAGGGTCACGTGTCGAGTTTAAGACGCACAAACATCGTTTACGGCGAAGGCTCTATGACTGACTGAATCGGATTGAACTGGATCGAGTTAGGTATCGTTCTTTCCGTAATATTCTAAGCTTTCTCCAGAGGTCTGTCTCTAAGCGCTATTCATTTTAGTTCCGAAAATATTGTAGCAGACAGCTGACGTGCGTGTATTTGTAAACAGCTAGGTTCCCCCGGACCGATGACTGATGTGTTTTATTACGTTTATCATTGTTTTAGTGTTAAAAATCAAAAGTAGTGATATACGTGGTGCATTATAAGAAGATTTAAGTGGTTTTGAAGTGCTGGTTGATGATCCTGAAGAAGTAGGTAGTGATATTGATGTAAATTATCAGCCAGATTCCTTGCTATGGTTAGGCTATGCATTCTTAGCTAAACGCTATGTACTGAAATCCGTTTTTCGCTCATAACTTATTTATTTGATAACTTACCTCGCTATATGATTATATATTTGTAATCCTCATTAAATTTAGAACAAAGTGGCTATTTTCAAATATTTATAGGCCTATAATTTATACAATTTCATTGAGCGCGAACTTATTTTTTTTTTGAAAATTTTCGAAATTATATTTTTTTTTACCTAAAAATTTTTTTTTGAACAAATGTTCCTTATGTTTTATATATAATATTGAAGCCCATGATTTTCCAAACAAAATGGTATATAGAACATTAGAATTAACATTGTTTTAAGCTTCTCAGATCCGTTTTAATAAAACCTTGCAAAGGGGCCAAAAATAGGTGGACATTAAGGCCTAAACTATGGACACTCGGAGGGTTAAGCTCTAGGTAAACTTATCCGGTATAATACTTATAGAAACTAAATGGCTAAGTTAGTCTGTCATTTGGAAAATGTCATTTAAGTTAGGTACATCATGGTTAAGTTTAAGTTAAACCTTTGTTAAACTTAGTCTTAGGTATCAAGTTGACAAGAGTTCTCATTTTAACTTACAAAGGGAGTCTATGTAGCTTATCTAAGTTAAGTTAGCCTAAAGTTAACTAAGTAGTCCTGGCTGTGATATAATTTTTTGAAAGTCTATGATCAAGCAAAGCCCAATGAACGCTAACATAACTTAGATGTAGCCTTGCTAAACTTAACTTAAGTTACATATCTTTAGGGTTAGATTTTGCAAACAAAAGTTACAAGGTCATTAGGCAACAACAAGCTCACTGGTGTAAGCCTATTAAGTTAAGTAACCTAACTTAACTTAGTTAAGGGTGCGCTCTACCTCAGCTTGGATTTCTCAATACGAAGTTGCTGAACGCCGATGTCCTTATACCATGGCATTGAACAGCGCCATGAAGAGCGCTTGCAAACCTTTCAAATCTGGGTGGTTACATCGTTATTCTTAAAGTTTTTAATAAAGTGACTGCAGATTTTTCTTTTTAAGAATCAATTGCACTTTCCCCGTTTTTATTTTTTCTCCAAAAATTATTTGTATGCGTTAAAACTTGTGAAAAAAAACTTGTAACTTATTTTAACATTTTTACCAACCTTTGAGCTCAACATTTTTTGAATTATCAAAATTTTAAAAAACTACAAAACTACAATAAGGTAAGTTTAGCCTATATTTAACAAAAAATATGACACCAAGATCTTTTAAATCAGTTCACAATTGGGGCTAAAATCAGTAAGAACTAAACCCCTTGCATTTGCGCGTGCCAGACGGGTAGAGCGCAGCCTTAGGTTAGAATCTAGGCCAAGGCTTTGCATACAAGTTTAACTTGACGAGTTTAACTTGCCGGGGTATTAAGTTAGGCCTACTTGAATGTTCCCTCTAACAGGAAAATGCCATTTTTTAAAGTTAGGGCACTTACTAACTTATTGGAAATTGTTTTCACTGAATTCAAATCTCAACCCAAACATAACTTAGTTCGGGTTTCCTGCTTTAGTTGTGTATGGCCTCGGTAACAGAAGTTGACCTGTAGTTAAGCTGTCAATCTCTTGTTGATGGGTGTATCAAAACATTGGCGCTGCTTGCGTCAAAATCAGCCAGTCAGATACAAGAGAAGGCTCCCTAAACTACATGCTATGAGTAGCCTAGGCTATAGGGCCTATAGTTACTAACCTACAAATTAGGGTGTGTTTACACAAAGAAAGCTGGTTACAAAAGTAACATAAATTCAGCGCTTGAGAATTTTTTTATGTCAAGCTAAAGTAAAAATTAGCCTAGTATTTTGTTGACAATGTCTTCATCAACTGATGAAGGGTTATTTTTGCTTGATTGATTAAAAAATTCGTTGAAGGAAAGTTGGTGTTCATGCAATTAACCATGGAAGAGGTAGGTTTGCGGAATACCATCATCTATTTCCTCAATTGATAGGCCTATTGGATAAAGTGAGGTATTTTTTCTTAGGCAAGTTTAATGAAGTAACTTAAGCTAAATACCTATATGAGAATGGAATTACCCACGTTCAGTTTGGCTACATCCTCAAAAGTACAAAACGTTCTTGCTTGCTTGTCAGAACTTAAAGCAATCGATTGCCGCTTGGGGCAACCTTTGTCTGTGAACGCAGTGCATATACAGTATTTGACTTAAACTTAATAAACCATTGTATTTAGACGCGTGATCACTGGTCCCAAATCTTTCCTACAAGAACAGTCGTTTTAGTACTGGCCACTTCCTGCCGATCTAGTCCAGTTAAACCGATATGCTGATAAAAATTGTCCGGTTAAAGAGATGTCATTCAACACTCGATAGATCAAAACTTTGAATAATTCCAATAAAAGCTAAGTCCACAAAGAATCTCTTAAAATGTAAAAGTTTTACCATGCATTTTGATACATACTCATTAAGTCCAAGCAGAGGGCAGGCTAATTTGTCAAGCTTAACTTTAAGCTTAAATTTTTGTCAGCTTTTAAACTCTCTATACGTAGGTACTTAATTCGAAAGTAGAGATTCCTTCCTTTCATAATTTAACATCTTTAAACATCCTCCTGTTAGCACAGTCCAAGTTGATTCCAAAATATATTGTAATTTAATTTAGTAAGATAACTAGGCCGATTTTTACCAACCAACCTACACATACGCTGTTTTTTGTTTTAAAGTAGGCCTACAATAACAGAAACATGCTGTTTAGGTTCTGTACATGATACAGAATTTCACATATGAACTCTTTGTAAATCGAATGTTTTAATTTTACCCCGATAAATCAATCTCTTTGATAATTCAAATTTATTTGCATGGCCCAACAATTTCAAACTAACTTATCAAAGTGTCTACTGTATAGACCTACTTGCTGTGTAAAATAATCAGACACAATTATGAAGTGTTTTAGTTCACTTAAATATATCTTGTGGAAACTTTCTGTTTTTAGATAAAAAATGTTTATATCATAGGCCATTCCACAAGGAACTAACTTAAGATGAGACTTTGATCCCAATTATCAATAACACTGCTTGTGTGAGAAACTCATGCCGTAATAAGATTTCTCTAAATGTTACATAGGCTAATTGAAAACCACCATTCAATTAACATGTTTTAAACATGTTAATTTTCTAGCACACTAGAATCAATCTTGCATTAGATCAGGAAAAACAGTTTTAGGTTTTATAACACTTCTGCCATGTTGTTTTTCTTAACTAAATGTAAGGCCTATTACTTTCCGCCATTACTACAAAATAATACTTTGTTAATTTAGAATTGTAAATAAAATACCATTGGCGTAGAAATACACAAAGAAAATGAATTTGAATATTTAAGTTAACCCTTTGCTTCCGATTTCCACTGGAAAATGTATTCATATAGAATACAATCGTTTGGTCAGCCTAATGATGTTTAAAATGATCTAAGTAGACCTATTACCTAGTAGGCTAGGCCAATTTTTCCAATTAATTAATAAAGGAGGGTGACCCATGTCCAAATTGTGCTTAAAACCCGAGGCAAAATGAATAATGTATATCTTTAATTTTCCAAGATAGGCCTAACCTAAAAGTAATTTTGTAAGACAGTCATTAAGTAGGCTAAATAAAACTACTCATTGAAGTTCAATCAAATTTGGCGATTTAGATCTAAACTTATAGCACCCTAAAGAGTTACTTAAGTTAATTTATCAAAAAAGTAGCCTAGATTTAAAATCCATTTTCATAAACCGTTCTGTCAAATATTATGTTTGTTTTGAGACTGTTACTTTTATGCCAATTTAAACTTCTACTTTACAATAAATTGAATTTGTTGATTGCCAATCTATGGTACCATATTTGGATTACCTACTGCATTCTGGTCACAAATTCACTTGAAATAGATTACGCTTTTTTTAATCCATTTTAATAAACTTCTTTGTCTTTTGATTACATTCTGACTTGTTAAACAACAACTGAACGATCAGCTGTACATTACCAATTCATATTCTTAAAACCTTTAGCTCTATAAAGAAAGTGTGTCAGCATTATGAATGAATCTTTGAAAGTTAACTCTAGAATTATATCAAAGACAAGATGGGTGAAATAGGTAATTAACTTATCTTTTTAGTTAACTTTTGTCTCTCCGCTAACCTCGATGATAAATTGTGGCCTAGATGTTGTTTCAGAAACTCCAAAATCTTGTATTAGCTGTAACAACCCTGTAAGCGTAACTCATATAGGGTGAAGTGGGGTAAGTGTGACCTAAAAATCATAAAGTTCATCTTTACAATTTTTTTTCTCGGTTATTTCTAAAGCTAGAAACTTGAAATTTTTAACACTTAAACTTCGGAAATATCTTTATTGGTAAAAAAAAACCAATGTGATAAACTTATGCTTTCACTATTTTTTTTTTTTACTTACAAAAAATGCCTGCCAGCTGTCACACTTGCCCCATGGGGTCGGGGCAAGTGTGATAGTGACCTCTATAAAATCCTGTATCTCTTTTAATGGTAAATGGGGCAATTGTGATAAATACCCAGTTAGTGCTCTTTCAGGAACATTTTGATTTAAGTCCCTATCATTCTTACTTTTTGAGATATTTACAAATGAAATAAAGACTTACAAATCTGCGGAAATTTATAAAAACTTGCATCAGATCACACAGATTAACATCAGATTACATCAGATCACACTTGCCCCGGGTGTCGGTGTCACACTTGCCCCAGCCATTGAAAATTTCCGGGGTAAGTGTGACATGTGGTTTTAAATTTAATGATAAATTTGTACATGTTTTAAATATTTTTTTTTCTAAAAGTTTAGCTTTTAGGCTCTTTAAAATTCTGAGTTTGATATAAATTGGTCAAAATTGAAAATAACTACAGATTAAACAAAATTTCCGAACAAACTTCAATTTTGACCTAAAATGTCGGACTTATATAAACCAATAAAATCAACACACAGTAGTTACTAAATTGATAAAAAAAACTATGTAACTAGATACCTTATATGTCAAACATTATTTCTATGACAAAACCAATTTTTTTCAGCGATTCCCAAAAACAAGATGTCCGGCTATCACACTTACCCCGCTGTCACACTTACCCCGCTGTCACACTTACCCCACTCCACCCTATGAATAAATTATTATGTAGGTATTTTATTACATTTTGGAAATTGACAATATCTAGAAGAATAACGGTTGTGAAATAGTTTGTTTATTGACCTAAGAGAGTTGTAATTTATATTGCATTATGTTATGATATCAGCGATTATTCACTAGGTTAGCATTTTCTCAGTCAGTTAAAGCAGTTTGTCTCCATAGTTGAACTGATTTTAGAGGACCCAAAACAAATTGCCTTCTATGAGATATTTGTGGTTCCTCTTATATTATATTGTAGCCCTATTGGCGAGCGACTAGCAACTGCCAAATTATTTGGTAGAACATTTTTAGAAAGGCGGGCAGTTGAAAAGCTCCCATGGATCCCATTGCATGCTGGAACCACTTAATTTGCAAATAGATATGTGCACCACCCTGCACCTGTCAACTGCTGTAATTGGTGTCACTTATCCACTCAGTAAATTGTCCTATTTACCATGATCCGCCTTTATAAAAAGAAAACTGAAAAGACTTGGATATAAATTGATAGGTTTCTTTTCTTTATTTGGCGTTTTGTTGTTACAGATAAAATGTGTGATCAGATAAGTGATGCTATATTGGATGCTCACCTAAAACAAGATCCAAATGCTAAAGTTGCATGTGGTAAGTTAAATTTTAAATAGGCATAAGTTACCGATTAATTAGTTGATTATTAAAACCTGTAGGTTAGGACACAGAAAACATACTACTATAATCCAGAATACCAGAATGCTCGCCGTGTGGAGCTTTGCCTGTCAATTCGTAGGCAGCACTACCAGCATACAATTCACCAGCATAGCAATGCTGGTGGCGCTTCCTACGAATTGACAGGCAAAGCCCCACGCGGTGAATATTCTGGGGTTTAGTAGTATGTTTTCTGTGGTTAGGATCATAATAATTTATGTTTTTCTAACTTAAACTTGCATCCAACAGTTGCATATACATGTCCGAGCGCTAGCCCCGCAACCAGCCCATGGGTATGTTTACGCGACCAAAGTGTAATTTGAATTTGACACACAAACATACCAATGAAGAACAAAAATGTAACCTGTTTGATATTGGCTTGTTGGTATTGGAGAATCACGTGGTACAGTATTTTTTGATTTGCAAAATGAAACTGTCCCCTCTAGGGATCTTAATTCTATTTAATCTAACATTCCAAATGGAATATTTCAGTAGAAATCCAATAAAGCTAATGGAAATTTGCTTATTCAGCAGGTTTGCTGTGGCAGGAATATTTTTTTATGAGACTAAACTGTCTTCAACTTGTATATATTCAGTTCTATAAAGAAGTTTTTAAATAGGGCCTAACTTATTAGGTGAGACTCAAAAATGAATGTAAAATATGTTTTTCTTAAAACCTCATTTTTTGTACCGTCTACTATTTTTTTATATTCTCCTTTTGGCTGGACATAAGCAATCCTAAACTTATGGATTTTAATGTCACTTATGTATGTTTACCACACTTTGGATTTTAAATTCAATTTTTTTTTATTAGTCTGCAAACTCATCAAAGTTAATCTTGGGTTGGGGCTTTACTTTGACCTTAATGCAAAAGTCGGGACTTGCAAGGTTAATAATGTTCTTCTAGGCCTAGTCTTGTAATTATGTTATGTAAATAGGTTGAACCACTTAAAACTAGATAGGCCTAGATAATTTAGGTTTTGGATCTTATTTTATATAGGCCTAATCTTATAAAACTGTAATTTAAGAGCAGATTTGTGAGACACAATGAAAACAATGCAAAAATGATAGCCTAAGTTTATCCAAAGTAAACTTAACTTAATCATCACTCTTATTTTTTTTTCAGTTTTTAATTTTTATACAAACCAAGAGAAGAGTTATCAGAGGTTAACATTGTGACGGTAATTTATGTAGGTTGGGTTAAAAGATTTGAACTAAAACCTGCAATGCATTTCCGACATGAATAGGAATGTGTAAATATGTTACCGTATCTCGCATTTACAATGATTGTCATTGAGGATTAGGTTACCAGCATGCACATTGACAAGAGCTTGGTTTTTTAGTTTGTAAGACATTTGGCCCTGGCTAAATATTAGTCAAAAAGCAACCTCCTCAGTGTTAACTAAGACCACATATCTTCCACACTGATTAGGTGGGATCAAATGTAGGATGCACAGTGTGTTTATCAATGCTGGAACTTTTCAGAAACTGTCACCAAAACAGGGATGGTATTGCTCTGTGGTGAAATCACATCAAAAGCTGTTGTGGACTATCAAAAAGTAGTCAGAGACACCATCAAACACATTGGATATGACGACTCATCTAAAGGTAGGGAAGGCTGTTGATATTTAATGGTGCTTCAAACTCTGTTAGGCCTTATGAATATATTTTCATAGCTGTACCAAGGCTTGATATAAAGCAGTTAGGCTACTTAAAAAAATCAAATTTTACACAAAACAAACAAATTTAAACTCACATCAATCTTTAAAACCATAAAAATAATTTCAATATAACCTGAATAAGTTTGCAAGTCTTAATTTTTTTGCCAGTAGTGTTTACACTGTTATGTACAAGCCAAAGCAACCTGATGTCAGATTACTTCTAAAACAAACAAGACCTACAAATAAAAAATTTATTCCTAAAAAAAATGTGTTAGCGTACCCTACTAAGTTAGTAAAATCACATGTTATAAAAAGAACGGGGTGCAGAACGTTTTGCATAAGAAGCAACTAACGTACATTTAGGTTTTCTGATGGGTAGTTTTTAAATTACAAATATCCGTCCAAGCAACAGTTTAGGTATTTTATTAAAATTATATTTTATTTTAAAATTTTAGACAAAGCCCCCCCATTTTCAGGATGATTTTTTTTTATCAGCAGAAACTTTTTTTAATATAGTTAAGGTCGACTATTGATAATAGGACTAAAGATAACTTATTGATAAGGACCAGATGTAGAACAAATTGTATTTACTTGGTTCGGTTAGGGTTTGACTTCAGAACGTGCAACGTTCTGTGTGCCTTGGAAGAACAGTCACCAAACATAGCAAAAGGAGTTCACAAAGACAAAGACGATGAAGATATAGGGGCCGGTGATCAGGTACAGAATATAAGAGCATGGTACCGTACATCGAATTGGGGCAAGAATGCCCATTAACCGTTGGACTCTTTCTATTTGGGTTTGCAAACTCGCTTTTTTACTGATTTAGAATTTGTCGGTATGTAACAAAATCCTTAAAAAAGGATTCTGATTACTGCCTACAATTCTGTATCACATAGTTCCTTTGTCATTACCTTTAAAAGGTACTAACTAATAGCAACCCGGTTGTAAAGACAATAATCACTACATGGGTTTCATCGGGATCATATAGCGCGTTTTCCACCAAAATAAAGTGAACAGATGTGTCATCAGTGGTTCTCTAATATATTTCTAATAATACATTTGCATGTACTAATAATCCTGACTGGGATTGTCAAAGGGAAAATGTCATAATCCTAGAAAGGATTGGTAGAGTTGCACGGGGTTCTTGAGCTTCAAGAGTTGAGAGCACGTGCAACTCTGGAATCACTGGTTTGGCTGCAGGTTTTGATTACAAGACATGTGCTGTCATGGTTGTTTTGGACCAACAATCGCCTAACATAGCCGCTGGCGTTCACGTCAATCGCTCTGAAGATTCTGTGGGAGCCGGAGATCAGGTATATCACTTTACATGTTGACAAACACATGGTTCTGAAGTGTCTCCTTTGTGGTAGAATTCCTTTTGTGGTATTGCCATACAATTATTTTGATTTTGAGAAAGGTTTCAATTAGGCCCGCTTCTCTTTTTTTACTTTGGTGTTCTGAAGCGATATTCAAATTGCATTATTTATTTAATCCTCTTGCACCTCATTAGAGCCTGGTGAGTATGTTTGCTGATCAGGTGTCGAAAGAGTGCTACATAAATGTGTTGCTGGTTTGATTTACTATCTATTTTTTGTTAGTAGATATAATCTAAGTGACCAACAATTTAATCTATATTGAAAGATAAAACTAGAGTGGGTATACTGGCCTAGGAGAGGGATCTGTCCTACCATACTTAAAAAAAAAGCTGAAACATGATGTTGTTTCATTTTAACACAATTTGACAATTTTATTTTTGTTTATAGCTTATAAGCTATAAATAAACTATTTTATAGTATTTGTAGGATTTTAACTGAATTACGGAATTTGGAATTAGCTGTAAAGTAAACAGTTAACCCTACATTCTTGTATAAAGAAAATGTATTTTTTAAACCAGGGTTTGCTTTTAGAGAGAGAGAGTTAAAACCAGAGTTCGCTTTTAGAGATAGAGTTAGGAGAACCTTTTCTTGTTAAAAACTACTTTAAACCAAATTTTCAAAACTAATACTAGATTAGGAGGGATGAGTTTTTTTACTTTAAGTGAAAACTGGTGTTAACAATTAAATATTACAGTAAACATTCGATAGTTCCGACACTCCTGGTAATTTGACACGGCTATTTTGTCAAGTGAAATTTAATGGTTACTATTGTGATGTAAGCTAACTTTAACATTAATTTGTCATTTATTGTTGACTTGAGACTTAACTCAACCAACAGTAAAAACTGTTAAGCTTTTTATTATTCAAAAAATTTGGTTGATTCCTATATAATACTTGTGTTTTTACTTTCCTGAATATTAAACTCCATTTACTCCCTGCAGTTCGACATTTTGATTGTTCCACATCCCTTAAGTCCACAAAGTGTCGAACTATCGAGGTTCTACTGTACTACTCATTTGTTAACTTTTTTTATGAGTAAGTTTTGCATTAGATTTTATAGATGAAAGGTGTTCACTAACACTATAATGAAAATAACTTTTACCAAGAGATAATTTACATAATAAAGTTGTGCAACAACAACTCAGAGTTTTTACTGTAATTGTATAAAAACTACATTGAAATGAATTGCATTATCTCTCACCCTGACCCAAGCAAAAGCATGCAAATGGCAATACCACGATGGTGTGACATCCAAGTGTGTGGGCTGTTGTTGATATAAGCCTATTCATAATAATTAACATGGTTTATTTAATGCTAAGAGGAGCCAAAGGCTCTTTATTCTAGGATGTTTTATCTATACATGACCTTAGATAACTTAATACCATAAATCTACAAAGGTTGTGTTTGAATGGCTATTTACCAGCCAATAAACCTTGAATTTATGATTGGCACATTGACATTTTAGTGTTAAATTGTGAATCTACTCAATAGAATTCTCCCTAAAGTATGTAGATAAAAATCCTTAATATGAATAATTGGCAATAAATAAATAAGAATGAAGAATTATTTATTTATTTATTTCATATACCTAAAAATCTACACGGTTTAATTTAAATTATTTTCCTTTTTTAACAGACTACTTGGTTGCATATTTATATTAGTCCTACATATTTTATGTTTTCAATTGGGGTTTCTGATTTAGGGGTACTTCATTCTAAGTAGTAAGTCAAAGATCAATATGATAATTTTTACTTGAATACCAACACATATAAAATAAAAATACACTTGCAAGATTTAAGCATACCTACTAACACCCCTTCGTCTTGCAAGCGATGATATTGCAATGTATTTTTATGTGTTTTCGTGAAACAACTCTTCTCTATCTGTGATTGTAATTGGGTATAAGCCCTTTCCTTGTGCACCTCTTCCAACCACTCATTTACTTTTTTCTATTTTGGCGACAGTCACATAATTTTCCATTCAAGAAAAAGTATTGAGAAAAAGATATTTATTAAATTAACAAAACAATTTGGGGCTCCTATAATCCTAATTTGTTGGGCCAATTTGGAGATGAAGAAATCTGTATAATCTCATATACCTACCTATAGTCACAGAACAACCCGTTATCACTACACACGCTCCAGCTGTTATTTTCTTGATTTTGTATGTCTGTCATTTTACTAAAAATATATTTAGATAATAGGGGGTTCCCCCAGATAATTTTTGATATAAATAATGTACAATCAAGTAAATAGTATTGCATACATTGTGTTACATTAACCATTGCAAAACCAAACCTCTATTCTAGTAAACCTCTTTACTTTGATAATACTTTTATGAATGTGTATGCTCCTCATGTCAAGGATTGAGGTAAGTAAAAGCTGCGAAAGGTGTTGTAGTGTTTGTGTGCTCATTTCAACATAAGCATGTCTCAGGGACTGATGTTTGGCTATGCTACGGATGAGACAGAGGAATGTATGCCACTGACAGTCACGTTGTCACACAAGTTGAACCAAAGGATTGCTGATCTCCGTCGCAGTGGAGAGTTCCCCTGGGCTCGTCCTGACAGCAAGACCCAGGTAGAATCCATAGTAATTGTAGCTAGTTAACAGAACGAAACATGTGAGCTTCACCAAAACCTGCTGCCTAAGTTTATATGTTGAATGATGGTGTACAATGTACTCTCAGGAGACAACCTTGAGAAACCAGCAATCCACTCAATTCACTCTTACGTAGCTACTAAAGACCTTGACAAACTAGCAACCACAATAATGATGACAATAATTGACAGAAGACATTATGTCGACAATAATTTGTTCCCTGAATTATGGTTGCATAGAGTAAGTGTCTGCTCCCCTTGCCCCCTTCCCAAAAAAAGAGGTATCTATGTATTTAATGATGTGTCGATAATAAAATTTATCAATACCAATACGGATTCCTGAAAAATCGATTCTCGATACCGATACTGTTACTATTTTGTTTATAGTTTTACCAAATTTTTAATAATAGTTTTATATCTGATATTTGCAGAAGTGTTGGGTATCGGTACCAAATCAATTTTTGACAATCGTTTCTTGATACCGATGTCAATGTCCAAGTATCGATGGTATCTAGAATTGACACATCCCTATTGTTTGATAGGTAAAACAACACACTACCTCTGGTTTAAATGTTGAGGAACTGTGTTTTATTTAAAAACCTAACAGTAATAGTTCAAGCGATTAGTTACAAAGTAAGTAGGCCCATATTAAATAATTTGAATTTTCTCCACAATTTGAATTTATTCATAGTTAGACTGAGGTTAAACCATACTATAACGTAGGCCTACTAAACATCATCACGTGTTTTGATCATGAATTAAGTTATCAGCAGTGATATAACTGACTGTAGCCTATCTGTATTGCTTAACCTTATTTGAATTGTGACCTAAATTCCTACATTACTTTTATAATTTCCAAAATTAACTATGGCTAATGTCTTTCTCAATTACGGTACTTACGTTAGTATATTTATTCATAAAATTAATCCAAATAAGGAACTTAATATTTTGAGATATAAGCAGTGTATTTTTTCCTTAGGACGCCTGAACAGTTCATAATAGTATTTATTCTTCCTGAACAATAAACATATATGGGTAACTGTGGAGGATACCTATATGATTAGTTACTGATTATTTTGTTGTTATAAAATCAGTTAAACAATTTAGCTTAACCTTCCTCAGGAATAGGCACCTTGGATGAAACATTTATCATGAAATTTGCTAGAAATTGGTTTAAACTGTCTGCTAGAGACAGTTTAATCTAAACATCGTTGATACATGAAGATTAATGTTTAAATCGGTTTGTAAGTTTTACTGTTTCTACTAAAAGATTACATTTAATTATTTAACTGCCAACATTGTGATGTTATGTATTCATACACCATCTTTCGGCTGATGTAATATGCTGATAGACTCTCTCTGAATGTTGGTCGTCTAAACGTTTTATTAGTACTGAAGCAATATTATATGACACAGATAAACCTTGTTATGTCCGAATTTACTTCCATTATTTATCTTAACCTTTTCTCAATTCTTCATGTTTTGAGATCAAATGACTTGGGTTTTCTGAAGTGGCCTATATTCGTTATTAAAGTTTCACATTCTGTCAAAGATTGCTGTATGTTTTACTAGTCCTTGGACCATGGGAATAGTGATTTTATACTATGGTAATACAAGCAGGTTTACTGAAACCCTTTCTTCTTTGGCAGTTGTACATCATGTGCAATTGTAAGGTATGCCTAGCATATATTCCATCTAAAGTCTAGGCCCTACTCTGAAGGTTACTGAGCATAATGTGTTTGACATCCATAGAGGGTTTAGGCCTAAGGAATTTAAAATATGCATAACAGTGGTAATTTTAGTATATTGGACACATGTTCCTAGTCTTCATATCTACTAATGCCGATTGGCAAGTAGATTAAATGGGTAAGAATTAACCATAGCCAGCATTGAGATGTTTTCCATTTAACCATCTTTCGGCTGAAGTAAAATGCTGAAACTTGTTCTCTGAATGTTGGCCAACTTTGATCATCTCATTAGTTTACCTGGGCCATCAGTATTAACCATTGACTACATGTTTTATGTTCACAGGTTACCTGCGAGTATTGCTTTGTACGAGGGGCCTGTGTACCTCTACGAGTACATACAGTTGTCGTCTCTCTCCAACATTCAGAGAAGGTCAGTCTGGAAGAATTGAGGCAGCAAGTCAATGAAAAAGTCATCAAAGAAGTGATCCCAGCTAAATATCTTGATGCCAACACAATTGTTCACATCAATCCCTGTGGAGAATTCATCGTAGGAGGACCTCAGGTTTGTCTTGATCTTTGATTTAGATAACATAATTTATCCTCCTTGTCATACAGAGACAAATAGAATCATAATAAATTAAAACTAAACAGTCACACTAGGTATTTAGTAAAGAATCGAATAATACCATAAACATTCTGTTTGATGAATGAAGCTCGGTTCAGTCCATCATTCATATTGATATGTTGTTATAAAAGAATTCTTAGTTTCAATCACTAGCCAACATCATATTTATTTGTTTGAGAATTGCATGAAGCTTCAAATTTGCAATATCTATATAATTAATACGCCACACGAAAGTTTGTCGGTTGAACTCCTCCGCCATTTCTTAACCGATTTTATCCATTGACGTCTCATTGGAAAGAGCGTGTCGCGTAGATTTGCAAACTGACCTTACATTTTTGAAAAAGTCCCTTGGGCTCTGCCCCAGTGGCTTTAAAAGTTCCCATGTTAACCTTATGAAGAACATAATTGTTTACATTTTGATCAGCTGTATAATTTTATTGCTGTTATTTACTTTTCAATTCAATGAAACAATGAAACACATTGAGTAGATTTATTTACTATTTGAGTTTGTGTAAACATAACCCCCAAGACGGATCGTGTTAGTATGGTTGTATCCTAAAATTTGTGTATTTATCGTTGTTTTGTGTCGCTATGATGGATTGTGTTAGCATGATTGTAACTTAAATTTGTGCATTTATCGTTGTTTTGTGTAGCTATAATTTGTTTATTATTTGTTGTTTATTTCTTTTAAATGTCTCCGACGCAACGACAACGAAACATAGACAGGAGGCGCAATCGTGATAACGACCGCAACTACAGAACAGTAGCGCGTAATAGGCTTAACTCATCAGCTTAACAGTCTGAACATGAACCTGGACAACTTCAACTATTTGGTTACAAATACGCCCTTACACTACCCCAAAACGACTTTTCGTTCTCAATTGGCCCTCTATTAATGACCTGTGTTGCCTGTACAGCGAGGCATTTTGAGAAGGAGAGAACCGTCCGGAATGCTTTAGGTTTATCAATAACGAAGATAAACAGGGTCTGAGTTACACAACGGTAATATTTGAGTTGACTCTTTTAAATTCATTGTAAATATGACTGTTATTCAATCTGAAATAACTCCTGTAATACTTTGTAATTGCTCGAATTCGAGCAACATGTACACTAGTCCTTATTAAAGCAATTCAGATTGCAGCTTGATAATGATGTTAACAATCACCATCTTTCGGCTGAATCTTAGTGCTGAATCTATATTTGACTGAAAACAAGCTGCAATCAATGTAAGGTTGTTTTATTTAGAAAATAAAAATAAAAATAGAAGCTTTAACATTTAAAGTTCAGAAGTTTATTTACAATTCAACTCAAAACTGAAACATAAACATCACTGATATTGTTTACCTTTTACCAACATATGATGCATTTAACATGTGGTAATATGTGAACATAACATTATAATACATCTTTCTCCTTTAAAAAAAACACTGAAAGAATTTACTAAAAACAATAACCAACCAAACTTCTCCCTTCATTTGAGACCATCATATTGTATTCTGAAATCTTGATGGTAGCTTGATTTCTCTACGAGGTCTTAGTTGTACTGGCTCGTCTTGCCTTGGAACTGACTGGGAATTGTTCTGTTGAGTGAGTGATGGTTTCAGATGGCGGCGATTTATTCTTAGTGTAGCCCCGTTATCACGTTCTACCCAGTAACTTCTTGGAGTTGGTCCTTGATTAACAATCTTTCCCTGCTCCCACCATCCTTCATTTAAACACATAAGCTGTGTAAACATTTAAGCTGTTGAAATAAAGGATTTTCATTTCATTTCTAAAGACAACTCTTTCGTTATTTCTTACCACCCTCAAGTCTTTGGCTGACCGATCATAATATTTTTTCTGCAGCTGTTGTCTTGTTTTTAACCTGTATGGTACTCCATCATTCAGCGATGGTTTCAGCAGTTCCTCGGTAACAGGGATCGTTGTCTTACACCTGCGTTGAAACATCAGCTGAGCTGGAGAATATCCCAGATGCTTAACGGGCATGTTCCTAAGCTCCAATATTAAAGCCATTTGAATCCATATATTTGTATATTTGAATATTTGTATTTGAAGCCATTTTCAAATCCTTATTGTCATATTGTACTTTCCTAATCAACTCTTTGGCCATTCTAACTGCCCTTTCAGCAAGTCCATTGGATTGTGCATAGCCTGGACTGTGTGTCACAATTTCAAAATTCCATTCACAGGCAAATTCCCTCATTTGGGCACTGTTCTAAGGGACATTATCCGCTATCATTATATCAGGGGGGCCAAATCTACTGAAGATGTCTTTGCATGCTGATATTACAGAGGTTGCTGATTTACATGGCATTTTAACCAGCTCCAACCAGTTTGAGTAAGCATCCATCATGACTAAGTACACATTTCCTCCAAAACTCATAGGTTCAGGCAACCTAAACACTCCAGATACTTCCATTATTTCTTCTAGGTTTCAAAATACACCTGACACCATGTTTTATTTAGAAAATATAAATAAAAATAGAAGCTTTAACATTTAAAGTTCAGAAATTTATTTACAATCCAACTCAAGACTGATATTGTTTACCTTTTACTAACATATGATACATTTAACATGTGGTAATATGTGAACATAACATTATAATACAAAGGTAGTAGTGTACATGATTATTGGATTTTACATTTCTGAAAAATGTGTCTATTTATAAGACTAGGCCTACACAATATTTATTTGTGTTGAAATGTGACATAGCCTATTGCTTTGCTAAGTGACCAAATAAAATGATTTAATCAATAATTTTCTTATTTTTTAATAATTCTTTTATCAATCTACCATTGCGTTACTCTGGGTAGTAAATGGTATTTAACTAGGGGTCTGCAGTGCACTGAAAAAGTCGGTACGGTACAGTTTTACCACCATCGGTTCGTAACAGCTTTTTACTCGTACAAATTTGGTTGGTATAGCATACAATAACAATTAATTACTTTCAATTCACTATGGTAGTTGGTTAGAGGCACATGAAAGGCTTATCACGTGTTTGTTTAGGATTTTAACAATTTATGATTAGGGTAATGATGCAATAAAAATCCATTAGTAGTCCCAAATCCATTAATATTTTTTATCACGACAATAATTGTTGTACTCAAGGTCAATTCAAGTACTTCCGAGAACTCTTGAGTAGTTTGGCTCATTAAAGTTAATTATAATGAAATCCCAAACCTATTTGATATGAAAATGTAGATTTATAATGGCTGATAAATTTCACCGATCAAAGTTATGACTATTCTTATGTATACCTATCTTACTTTATTAGTTAAAATTTTTTTTTTTTTGAATTGACAAAACCTCAAGGTTGTTGTGTGCATTAGTTTTTTTCCTGTTATGCAAGCTTGATCTCAACCTACTTGGTCTCAAATCATGTCAGCAAGTTCTGTATCTCTGTCTTATATTGTTAGCTGTTCCGGTTTTAATGTTTTTGTTTCCTATATTTTTTATTGTGATGTAGGCTTAGAGGCTCTTTATACAATCTAAATCTTATAAACTAGATTTATGATAGTGACGGCAAAAATAGTAGTCGCGTTTGGTACCGATTTTGTACCAAGAACCGAGGTACAAAATATTTTACCGTCCTTCAATTTTCTGTACTGTAGACCCCAAATTTTAACTAAATAATTTTTAATTTGTCACGTAACTCTTTTACCATAAAACTTAGCTTGTTTTTTCATTATTCTATAGAAAACAATACCACTGTTTGTTGTCTTAATAAATAGCTAGTGGTATTAAAGTGATATTAAACATTTCTCTATCCTACAAATGTGGCTTTAAACATTGTGATGTTATCAATCACCATCTTTCGGCTGAATCTATGTGCTGACAATTTATATCTCTAGGCTACTGAATGTTAAATGCCACAGTCTTTTTATACTTCGCTTATTTTTCATTTTTTTATTCATTTATCTAATGAGGTTAAGAAATGGTTTTGCAGTTATAGAGTAGGCCTAGCTTATTTTTCAGTTAAGTTTCTCTAGTATAGTCCTCGCCACCCTAAGCTGCCTCAACTTAAGGGTGGCGAGGACTATAACATATCTAATGAGGTTAAGAATAATGATTTTGGCAATAATTATGCAATAGATTATCCTTAAAACAGTTGAGTAGTCAAACTTTATGATCAGATTAAGCCTAGTCCACATTTTTGGCAATTTGTCTCCGGAAACATGTGTTGATCGACTGTCTCTGTAGTGTTGCCTTTTATTTCTAGCGATGTCTCTAATACATCGGCATACTGTCGGACCTTTCTAGAGAAACTTGTGTTTCCACCCATATCTATTCCTCGTTACATCAGCCGATTGTTTAAGAAGTTAAAAGCGTGCACAGGATAAAATCATGTCCTCTTCCATCGCCATCGCGATTTACACTGGCTGGCTAGTGTGGACACTAAACAAATCAGAAACTTGCATCCGAAACTGTGTGAGCAGGCCTACTATCGCCCAGCTCAGTCTCCATGTGTGGACTAGGCTTTATATATATATTCACAATAGCAATCTTAGGGAAATAATTAAATTTTTAAATTGTTCTATCCTCCTGGCTTATAATGTTATCATATTTTTTGCATTTTAATTATAATTTATAAATCATAATACAGTAGTTTCTTTACATCCTACAAAGTAATTCAAACTGTGAAAATATACTACCATGTAGTAAAATTAACAGTGAACTGCAGCTAAACATAATGATGAAGTAACAATCACCATCTTTCGGCTGACCCTGAGTGCTGAAGCCAAATACTTACTGAATGAGAGCTGCTATAGCAAGTTTAGATTTGAGTATTTGAACACCCTAAAACTAGGGGTCTGCGGTGCACCGAAAAAGTCGGTACGGTACGGTACAAGCTTAATTACCGTCATCGGTTCGGTACAGCATTTTACACGGTACAAATTCGGTTCGGTACAGCCTATTATAATAATAAATTACTTTCAGATTACTATCGTAGTCAACGGCAGTTGGTTCCGAGCACATAAAAGTCTTATCAGATGTTTGTTTACGATCTTCATAATTTATTACTAGCGTGATGATGCAATAAAAAACCCATTAGCAGTCCCAAATCCATTAACATTTTATCACGACAATAATTGTTGTATTGAAGTACTTCCAAGAACTGTTGAGTTTTATCACTTTTATTTCTTTACGACTTTCCCCAATTCTGTTTTATCATAAAAATAATAGTTTTATGATGACTGTTAAATGTTATCTCTAACTTAATCAGTATTTTCGTGAATATTGAATTTGCCGCTGGCCATTGCCTACTGCCACAAAACTGTTTATGGCTACATATTAAACTTGTAACTAATCTACAATCTTATTTTATAAATTAAAATATTTGTTATGGATATTTTATCTTTCTATTTACGAAACCACAAGCATAGTTGTTGTTGTTCGCATATTTTTTTTCGTTATGCAAGCCTACTCGGTCTCAAATTACCGTCATTGTACTCAAATTGTATGTCATTGCATGTTCTGTATCTTGTCCTATATTGGTAGATGTGGCTGTTTAAGGCTTAAATGTTTTTTAGTTTCCTGTATTTTTTATTGTGTTGAAGGTACTTTATACAATCTAAATCTTATGAACTAGATACTAATGTTTCCCGAAAAAAAAGTCGGAATAGAAACAATAGAAAGGCAACACAATAGAAGGGTGGGAGGGGTTGGGCAATGACCTTGAAAGGAGCGCGGGTAGTGAGTCAAGTAGGACCGGAGGGGGAAGGGGTGGGTAAGACCTTGAAGCTAGACTTGCACTACTTCCCTAAACCTAAAGGACTGGCCGGCGAGTGGTATTCCAATCACAGGACAAGATACGTTGTTTTCTGGGTATTCATTGCCCGGTTTGACTTTGGATTGTCTTACTGTGTAAAAACTTTGAATAATAAAAAATTAAGTTAGAACTAACCACGATTATTTAGCATTGATTGTGTACATATTATATGATTAACGATAGGGACCATGGATATATACAAACTTTTGTCGTGATTTTAATTTCAACATCAAAATACAATATATTGCACAATCGTGATATTTTAGGCCATTGACCTTTATTATGCATCCGGTATTGCTGTTTCAGAAGAGAAGCACGTTGATAAATTATAAATTGATATTCCCGTAGTTAAAAAGAATTATTTTATAAACCTATAAAACAAAATCATAAAATCTTATATAAAGATAACAATAACGGAAATTGTAAAAAGGGTATAAAGATAACAACGTCGTTATTCTTTCTCTTTGTTCTTCTATTTCTTGGGTTTCCCTTCATCACGCATTCAACAAGTTGCCATGGTTACTAATCACCCATGTCGTTATCAGCTTTTGTGACATAGCGCACAGCAGGGGGTAAAACTTGACGAAAATCGGTAAATTTTTACCTATTATTTAATTACCAATGAATGTACTACTTTATTGGTATTTGGTATTGTATTAATAATCGGTCCAAATGGCAGTTTTTTTTCAAATTTTACACCAAATTTATTGAAATTTCAAGGTGAATATTAATAAAACAATTATTACCAAATATTTGTATTCATTTAAAAGATTGATTTGTGGTATTGGGTTCCCCACTGAGTGCAGCCGAGCGTCACTAATGAGGGTCGGACCTTCTTGGGGGTGAACAATAGACGGCTTATCAGACCCTCCCCTCCCCCGTGGTCTGGAGAAAGCATGTAAACAAACTATTGCACAAGCGTGACTTGGCATTGAGCTGCTTCAACTATAATTTTGTCAAATGAACTGTGATGTTTCAAAATCAAAAACAATAATTTTGGACCATACTGCTTAACAATAATGGACTGCAATTATTGTTGAACATACAATCCATTTTTAACAAACTAAGATTATACGATTCAAATACAATTATAAAAATTATCTTGGTATTTTACTTGGGGTAATGAAGTTATGTTATGTGTATGTCAAATAATTTGCACAATGCATGGTGTGTGCTTTTTTTTTAACTGCTTTTTGATTTTATTTTCTCCAAATGTGCATGGTTTTAATCTGATTTATTTAACTTTTTATTTTGTATGCTATTTGACTTAAACTAAGCATGGTTTGATTTTATTGTTAACCAATCTCTGATGATGGTTTATTTTTATTTACTGAATTATGTATTGACATAGCCTATTATGTAATGTTTAATGGCCAAATAAACAATTTGAATTTGAATTTGAATGTAGGCTAGTGTAATTCTCGGTTCATCAAGGTTCTACTGAATTATGTTTGGCAGTGAATAAGTGTAGAAAGCAATTTATAAATTCAGGGATACACACCTTTTACACAGTTATAAAGTCTAATTGCCCAACATCAAATCTTACTCTATGATAATCCAAATTTTAGTTTCAGAAAAAAACTTTGCAAGAATTGTATCCATCTTATAACTTAACTAGTTTTGAAGCTGATAAAAAAAATGGTCTTTGCCATTACTTCATCATAACCTCCAGTTTTTCATTGTCATCTGCTGTGAACAGCTGGCAAAACTACACCACTGAATGTTTTTATGTGTTTTTAAAATTTAAAAAAAACAACTAGACATTGTGTTGGTTGGAAATAATTTACCAGTTTTGTGAAATTATCTTGTCAATAAATGTTTCAAAGATGTTTATTCATAAAAACTCTTATCCTATTTTTAAACTATGCACTATATGCACTATTTTCAAAGTATCTCAGAGTAAAATAGGTAAAGCCTTTATCTCAACTGTGATTTTTCTTGACACAATCTTCGTAGTAGTAAAAGGTTTTGTTTTAATAATATGTGGTACAGTAATTAATGTTAGAAAACCATGAATGTAGGATACTATCCATTTTCATAGTAATATCTATGTATTAAAGTTAAAAATAATGGTTTAGATACAGTTCTGAGAAGAAAACCGCAAAAATACGGGTAGCCGCGTACCGTACCGATTTTGTACTGAGAACCGAGGTACAAAATATTGTACCGTACCGAACCGTACCGACCTTAAATTTTCTGTACCGCAGACCCCTACCTAAAACTCTTAATTTGTGAACATGTTTTATTATTAAATATTAGTGATGGGTCGGTACCACTTTTTCAAAGCCGGTACTGTTACTGGTTCCTTACCAAAATCGGTTCTCGGTTCCAGTACCATCGGGACCTCATTACAATTAGGTTCCATTTTTGAGGTGTTGCCTTCCGGATTACTTAACGATATTAATCTACAGCTTAAATACCTTCTTGTTGCTACTGTAATCCTCTGTCGTCTGGATGGAGACCGGTTTCGACACTCATGGTGTCATTGTCAAACCTTAAAGACGTGTTGTCGACCTATGACGACCTCCTAGGAGCGACAACACGTCTTTTAAGGCTTGACAATGGCACCATGAGTGTTGAAACTGGTCGCCATCCAGACGACAGAGGATTACAGTGGCAACAATAAGGTGTTTAACTTAGGATACTTAATTTTAAATGTTTTATTTAAGAAAAATACAGTATCCCTATTTCAATTTTTAAAACTTATTGTTTTTATTAGTGTAGGTTGTAGGTTCGTTATATTAAAGGATTACGAAAACGAAATCTTGACATATTTGTACAAAAAACACTTTAAGAACCAAACTAATTCAAATCAAAACAATATACCATTCCAGAAGTTTTAAATATAGGCCTGTTTGTTGAAAAGGTTCACTGCTAAACCAATAAATTCAACATATGCTACTAACCTTGGAAAGAAAAGTGGCTCTGGAAATTTGTTAAACTAAGTTAACTGCCTGTTAAGTTCTAGCTAAATATTTAGAAGGAAGCAATTTTGAGTCATTTTGTACCTATAGCCTGCATTAGGCCCCTCGCCCACTGTACGATTTTGACACTTGTTGTACAATATTTCTATCGTATGTGCGGTCCTCGCCCACGTTACGCCACTTTATCGGATAAATGACCAGTTGCTCGAGTGAGTGAGTGTGTTTGGCGCAAAATCTAAACAGTGGTTCTGTGTCAAGGAGTAAAATAGTAAATCCGTTAGGTGTTGTTGCAATGTGGCTGCTGTGGCGTAGGATTAGGTTTCCAAGCTTCTTTAGTTGCATTTCTGTCCTTATAATCGTCTAAAATTTTATCCCACAGAACTGGCTTTGCTTCCACTAATAAAATAAAAACATCATTGTCAATTATCACTCCAGTTGCTGTCTTCAATCCGCACGCCAATCAATTTGATGCCATTGACACTCAAAATTGTCACTATTCACGCCGAAAAACAAACGCAGTATGCAAAGTTCACAGTGAGAAGGTGCAGTGATAACTAGGACTACTGGGAAGAAGGCACAACATCCGCAAAAAATTCTTGGGGCGAGTGCCCATTTTATCATGTACGCCACTGCGAGCACAACGGTCACAGTTTGTCATGGTCGTGAGACTGTCGTACAGTGGGCGAGAGCTCATGTGATCCAATGGTTCACTACAAAATATTGTACCGTACCGACCTTAAATTTTCTGTACCGCAGACTCCTAATCAATAGTCAAAAGTTATGTCAACCTAATGTTTGTCCACCCCAGGGAGATGCTGGCTTGACTGGTCGCAAGATCATCGTAGACACATACGGAGGCTGGGGAGCCCATGGTGGAGGAGCGTTCTCAGGCAAAGACTTTACTAAGGTGGACCGCAGTGCAGCCTACGCTGCCCGCTGGGTCGCCAAGTCACTGGTCAAAGCCGGCTACTGCAAACGTTGTCTTGTGCAGGTAAACCAGTCCAGCTTACACAAAATATTGTAGGCTATACAATAGTTCTGCTCAATTTTTATTTTTAATTAATTTTTCATTTGAATTTCAATGATGTATTTTAGTATTTGCTACTCTTGACTCAACTTTTACATAAGCAGTTTATTTATTTTTATTTTTGTATACAAGTTCAGCTGTCTTTAGCTAAGACAAGGTTAGGCTAATGACTTTTATTTGTAAATGTTATATACTGCAGCAAATCTTTTTCCCCCTCAGGTTTCCTATGCTATTGGAGTTGCCGAACCTATCTCCATAACACTGTTTGACTACGGCACGTCAACTAAGTCACAGAAAGACCTTCTTGCCATTGTTAAGAAGAATTTCGACCTGAGGCCTGGAAAGATTGTGAGGTAAGAGAGCTTTCTAGTTTTGTTTTATTTTGTAGCTGATACTTCAGTTAAATAATTAACCTCAAACAGAGGCAACCATGAGTACCGTTATACCGTTAACCGTTGTACCGTTAACATGAAAAGAAACCGTTTATGAAAATGAATTTGAAGTAGCCTAGACTACTTTTAGTGATGATTGTAACCTGATTGAGACAGATGGATCTACTTGTGTTATAGATTTACAATCAGTGAATTTAATTGATTTTAAATTAGTAGTTAAATTCACATAAAAAATATCTTAATCAAAGATAAACTTTAAAAGTCAAAGAGTATTTCTTTTTTGCCTAGGAAACAAGTTTGAACCGTAGGTATTAAAATGTGCAATATGCACATGGGTCTATTAGTTTAGATTAGTAAGTTAAACTAGTAACTTTAAAATAAATATAATGTATTGAAATAAAATTAATAAAACCATTTACAACCATAAAGGTATTGGTTGTAATATACAATATACTGTGACATAGAGGTTATGGTCCAAAGTAATTACATAACTTTTCATTGCAAATAGTAGTCATTTATGGTTAGTGCAATACCGGTATTTATTTTTAAATGGTTCCTATTCCATTCTTCCTTTTTAAATGGTTCCTATTCCATTCTTCCTTTTTAATCACAATAAGCCCATTTTGTAATTATTTTTGGGAGTCAATATTTAAAGATTTGAGATCCAATTTTTTTAGGATTTGGATTTCAGATCTAAAAGTCCTGGATTCAACCATCACTAGTTTTATATGAAAGTAAAATAATTAAATTTTAACATCAACAACAGTCCTTATTCATAAATTAGCAGAGCACAAAGAGTTAAACAGTTTTCTTAAAGAAAATGAGTTTTTCAGAAATATGCTATATGCAGAAATACGATGACCAATCACGGCTTACTGACTAGTGGTCAATTACAATCTACAAACCCATTTGTCTGCAGGCAGATCAAAAGCCAACAAAAACATTAATAGGCCTATTCAGTTGGTTTTGATTAATGGAAGCATATGCTTATTATTTGACACAAAATTCGGCACGTTCTGTATTTGACCAATTTACTGCTACCTAAGTGTAACGTGTTTTGGGCTTTTGTCGTAAGTATAATAGACACCGGGAATACCGTGAATACCGGGAAGAATCTGAATTTTGTTTATAGCCTCTGCTAACAACCCTGTATTCATGTTTATGATTTCTTTGTCTTTTGGTAAAGGATAGTCGCTCTTCATCGATCACATCATCTAACTTCTCATCTTAAGAATCTTAAGGGTCTTAGGAATCTTAAGAATAAGGATCTATTTCTTGCACTTCTTTGTCAAGAAGGGTGACATCCGGTATAACATCCTTGTCTTCAGATTTTGAATTGAGATAACCATGCCATTTGTAGATAGTGGTGCATTATATCCTTGCCTTCTGACAGAAGCAGGCCGTCCCTAGGGTTGGCGGCGCCTGGAGCAAACGTGGTCGTGGCGCCCTCCCCTCCCCCCCAGCAGTAATAGTCGCATTCGCATATTTTAATTTGTTGGTTTTTCTTTGCTATAATTGTAAACATTAATTTTTCAGGGACCTCAACTTGAAGAATCCTATCTACCAGAAGACAAGTTCCTATGGTCACTTTGGACGAGACATCTTTCCTTGGGAGCAGCCAAAGCAGCTTGAAGAGTAGCATCAGCCACTAATAACTTGTGGACCCATCAGTAATTAAATGGCTGCTTATAAACAATCAGTTTTAAGGTGTAGTCATTCCAGTGAGATCACCGTTAGATATTGTTAACAATTTCAACTACTCAACATTGCTGAACAGTTTAGAACATCAACATGATTATCAAATTGGCATCAAACAATTTATTAATCATTCACATTTTTGTCATATGTTATTAAGTAGTTTTTTAATCATTTATTTGCTAAAATCCCAAGACATTGTTGTTAAAGTTATCCTTATTATTAAGTTTTTATTTTTCGTTTATATTTGCAGTTAAATTATAGCTTTATAAGTCAGTTTTTTTTACTGTTTAATATCCTTTCAGTATGATTTGTATTAGTTTTTATACATCAAAGACTTAGTTTACTATTTATCTTTGCATTTTCAATAAGTCTGATTCTTGACAAATGCATAAACAAGTGAGTTGACAGACCCAGGCAAGGGCTACCTTGCTTGCAAATGCTATGCGACTATTGCATCATTTGTGTTGTGTTTCCGAGAAGATTTTGGAAAAGAGCTTTTTCGAAAACACACCGGTCTGCCAACAATAACATCCTGTTGCAAAGTGGAAATTGGAACAGGACTGCTCATCAGAGTTTTACTAATTTTTAGTCTCACTTCGAGGTGTTGTGTGTCCAAGTGATTTCTTATTTCGTATTCTGCATCGTCTATGAGATATTTATTGTACCATATAAATAAATATCATAGAAGCAATTGAGGCATTGTATTTTCTTTTCCCCTTGGATCAGTTTTTAACCCGGTTTAGACCCTCTTACTATTAACACTAATGTACCCCATGTTAGCGAATTTCCCATTTAAGGAGGAAATAAGCTATTACTCTCGGTCTCAAGGTAAAACCTAGGCCAGGTATTAATTTACTTTTTTGTTTTGATGTTCATAGTGGCCAACAACACAATCCATTCAAATTCATACATACATATTTATTTTACAGTAGAACCTTGATAGTTCACGACACTTGATAGTTCACGACACTTGATAGTTCACGACACTTGATAGTTTGACACTCCCTATGGTTAGACACAGGCCGTGATGACGTGACATGTCGGCATAGGCCAATGACGGGTTTGCCGAGGTAAAAACTAGAGTCTTCTTATTTTGTGCATGTAAAAACTAAATACTATAATAACTATCCCTTTACTTTAATTTTTTTCTAACATGGAAAGTGTGTTTTAAATAATCCCTGTGTGTAAATAAATGTCCAATAAACTTCTTATGGTTTAAAAGTGTTATTTCTTTAATATCTAGAAAATAAAAAAACATGGTACCTTTTTTTATATTTTTACCAACCAATGCACATTTTTACATTTTGGTTCATGATCACAGTAATAATATTATTGAATCTACAATAATGTTTGGGATTTGTGGTGCTCCGAACAAGTCACTTGATTCTGCTCAATTATCGCAATCCATTTAGTACAGCATTTTCCACTTCACAAATTTAGATTGGTACAGCCTACAATTAGTTATTAGGTTTGCTTTCATAGCAGTGAAAGCCAGTTGAGCGGAGCGATCAGGTTTCATAGTTTTTAATAAAAGCAATAAATAGCCATGTTAATAGATATAATGCAACTATTTTATCGATTTAATTTATCAGTTTGTCTCAGAACTAGCAACATCTATAACAAGTTTCATAAGTAAAGATTTGGATATTATATTCATATCCTTTGTATCAGTATTTTTGTTTGTTGTTGAACCCAAATCGGACTGTGAACCCAATTAATATTTTCTCAATCTTGGCAAAATTTTGCAATTTAGGCAGAAATAATCCTGCATGGATCCATAGAACTATCAGATGCATTTTTTTAAAGACGACAGAATTCAACAAACAGTTTTCACCTTACCTAAGGTCTGTTTTTTTTTTTTTTTTTTTTTACACTTCATTTAACATTTGAAAAGCATTGTTTTCAACCAAGCGTTCTACATTCAACTATAAAAACTTTTGTTTACTTTCTCCTTGTTATTTTTAATTCAGTCAAGATGGTTACTTAGCAACCCAGAAGACTAATCTATCTATCTATACTATTATAAAAAAGAGGTGGTTGACCATTTCGTAGAGCTTAAAAAAACAAATAATTTAGTATGTTGAAGCGTTATTGTGCGCCTAATGGTTAGGGAAAAATTCCAAAAAACTGTAAATTTAAATTTACTATGTTATTCTTATAGAGAATAAGTAAACTGTTGTAGTTTGCTTGTTTATGAACATATTTTGGAAAATGCATTCATTTCATACTAAACTATATTTAACATTTTACAAAAAAAAAACACCTTTTTACCCTCCCTGTTGCAGCAAACCTAAGTACTCGTTAAACTAATGCTATGTAAATAGGGAATAAATGTGATATTTTTAAGGATACATTTTAGTGTAAATCCAATCAGGCAAATGGAAATTCGATTAGTCTGCAGGTTTGCTGCGGCGGGGGTATTTTTTTTTTTTTTTTCATTTTTTCATTATAAATCATAACTTATCTTAATTACTTTCATAATTATTTGCAAATCTACACGAATTAGGCTTTCAAACTACCCATTAATTAATAAAATCGATCCAGTAGAACTCTAGATTTAGTTGTACTGTACAAAGATTTTCAAAACTGAATTACAGTATATATAAAGTAGATAAAATATTAGTAGATGTTTCATGATTAGATGATTTGTACAAATAAGTTAAACTAAATTGTCTTCAATATTTCATAACAACTATAAATTTGGATTCGTATAACTTATTTGCCAATAACTTTTAAGCCGTTGGTAAATCGACCAAAGTAGATGTGGTATTTTGAAAGATAATTAAATTTCCTACAAATCCATATATCCTTATATAATACCGTATACAGGGTGACAAAAAAGTCTGGAAACGGCTTAACCCTTTGATTCACAGTGGTATTATCAGGATACCACTTGTAAAATAAATTTTACTGCATTGATGCATACTGGTATTGTGGAAATACCATACCAGGGGCCTAGTCAGTGCTGTAACCTAGCGTATTTTGGAGGAATTAGTAGCTTCTAGATAAATTTAGTATTAAAGTTGAAGTTTCAAAGCGTCGTTGCATGCTACAGGCTACAGGCTGTTATGCAGAGGTTTTGACTGTCTTGTATACCCTTCTATTACATATAACAAAGTAAGATATATGTTTTTATGTTGAATTAGACACTATGTAATTGTTATATTGCGTCAAAAACACTGTTTTTGTTCAAACTGAAAGTTTATTTTGCCAAATATAGGTGGTATACCTACAATACCACTATGCTACTAACACTAGACATATTTTGTTGTTGCCTTACTAAGCTAAAATATAATTTCAAGCATATTTTGTGATAATTTTCGTTATTTTTTCAGGTAAATGAATCATATAAATTTTACTTACTATATTTTAAATATTTATTTATTATTCTCCGATATCCAAAAGACATGACTGAAGACATCTTACTAACAGAAATTCTAAATGACGGTTGCTAAGATGAAATAGGTTTATCAGATAATTGACCAGATGACAGTAACTTAGTCTCTCTTCGGCAAATATACTCATCTTCATTGATGAAAATACATAATTTATTTTTATCATTATAAATCACCTATTGCGTTTGGAATCATAACCCAGGTGAAGCAATTCCGCATCTCCTACACGAATGGCTTACACTCAAAATCGACGAAAGGCAAAGGAAAGGCTAAATTAAATTTGATCAAACATAAATTTAAAATGCCAGTAGAAAAGAGGCTCAAGGAGAACGTTCACATGCCCATAATATCAACATGGACGAGATGCAACTTATGCAGCACAAAAAAGAAAAAGATTCGCTCATACTGGGAATGTAACGAGCGCAAAGTGTGCTTATGCTAGACAGACAAAAAATAGTTTTTATGAGTTTCACAACTGAACTAAGATAAAGATGAATCTTGAATCTTAAAATTGGAGAATACGATGTTGTACAATGATTCTCTGGAAACTTGTTATTTTATAACAGACCTTCAAATGTATTCAGTATTGTCATACAAATGTATTTACGAGTACAGTACCTACTAATATCTTGAGCTAATTCACTATTTTTCACATAGATTAGATAAGTAATCTTTTTATTACAATACATGAACAGGTAAATAATTGTTTCTCATCTGTAACATATTGGTAGGTTTTACGTTTCAAGGAAGGTTTTTAATATTTTATATGCACATTAGACTACGCACTGATACACAGTGGTATATATAGAATACCACCTCGTTTTTTATTAATAAAAATTATAAAAATAAAATTAAATTTTTTAAATTATTTTTCCTGAGCTCTGACACGGTTAAGGTTACCAAAAAACATCAATTCAGTAAAAATTGAAATAAAAAAATTTTACTGTGCATCAAAGGGTTAATATCTTTTTAACTAAATCCGTTAGAAAAGTCAAACTTTTAACATCAACTTACATGTATAAAAACTACTTTTTCCAAGCATTTTCATGTTTTTACCTCCACCAGGGGACGACCCGTAAGGAGTAGGTACAAAATCTTTAATGTAAGCATAGGTTGATATGCACACCATTTTAAAGGTCTGGTCAAGTGGAGTTCATTGCCGGAAACCGCATCTCAAAAGGTTCATTCGTTACAAAATGGCGGCATTTCAAAGTTCTTGTGGAATATACCTTTACAGGCCTTAATATTGGTAAATACTCGTATTAAACATTATCTTGAGAGCTGAAACTGTATTTTAAAGTCAACTGGCTCATAGACTAATATTATTCAATCTTCAAAACAAATTTAAATGGGTTTCAGATTTCCCGGCTAATGTTGAATATGAGTATTTACCAATACTAAGGCCTCTGCAGGTATATTCCGCAAGAACTTTGGACTGCCGCCATTTTGTAACGAATGAACCTTTTGAGATGCGGTTTCCGGCAATGAACTCCACTTGACCAGACCTTTAAAATGGTGTGCATATCAACCTATGCTTACATTAAAGATTTTGTACCTACTCCTTACGGGTCGTCCCCTGGTGGAGGTAAAAACATGAAAATGCTTGGAAAAAGTAGTTTTTATACATGTAAGTTGATGTTAAAAGTTTGAATTTTCTTACGAATTTAGTTAAAAAGATATCAAGCCGTTTCCAGACTTTTTTGTCACCCTGTATAATCCTTATATACACTACTCCTCCGACGTGTCAAAATAAAGTATTTTGTGTAGACGCCCCCTTTCACCAATTCCTGTAATAAAAGTCCTCGAGCTTTGCCCCACAGGCCATCAAAACCCTATGAAGAAAACATTTTGTTTACTTAAACATACGAAACGATTAATTTGTATTAATTACAGCTGTTCATAGTAAACACGCGATACACACAAGAGCGTTCGTTTTAAGAGCGAGTTCGTTTTCAGTTTCAATAACTGGAGTGGAGTGATTGATTTTCTACGTTGTTCAGGATAATATTTTAACCCAGGCTTATAGCTCATGGCAGAGTAGAAAGCTAACCCTTGCTGGCGGGAAGCGTGAAGAGAGGGACATATCAATGATAGGACGCAGTTTGTATCAAGGATTAGTGGGTCGACGAAAACTTTTTACTGACCGCGAGGTGCTTCATTTAGTCATGGTTTAGCTTGGAAACAGACTGTTTTGGTAGTAAAGTAGGCTAGGAAGTCTTAGGATTTGTATGAAACAGTTGAGAACTTAGCGGTGCCGGTCCTAATGCATCGACGGGGTTTTTTCAGATGACTAACC